GCTCGCTTGCTCTCCCAGGCCGCCCACATCCGGCTTTTCCTTCGCCCAGGTCAGCCATTTTTGCTGAGGGCAGCGGTGGTGTGTGAGACAGGTCTCAGGTAAAAGATGCAGTGGTTCTGAGGTAGGTTAACCACAGAAAGATGCAGGAAGAGTCCCTGCCCTTGGTCACGCTGCTGTGGTAGCTCGCGCCGTAAAGCAGGAAGGTGGCGCCTTGTACTGTCTCTTGAGTCACACGTCTTTTCCTTACGGGGCTGTGCGGGCCACCGTCGTATCGCGCATCACGCGGCCATTGGCTGAAAGGGCCGCCGATTCCGGGCCCCACTTCCGGCGCTGCTCAGAGCGCGCGGCTTGAGGGCAGCCTCTCCCTCTTCTCAGTGAAGTTTCTTCGGCACCTCGGAGACTTTGCACGGCTTCCTGCGCCTCTTCCCCGGCTCCCATTGGCCGCCTCCCTTCTGTGGCGCCCTAATATCCGGGCGGGCGTCCAGGCGCGGTCGCCGCGCTGCGGCAGCCGACACGCCTGCGCTTGGCTGGGAACAGTACACTTCGGAAATAAAAGCACCTGGCCTTTGATTTTCTCAGCCCGTTGCCTCAGTTCACTGCTTTCCTTTAAATTTCTCCCCTTCTCTCCCGAGAAGACTTTCTCTCCAATGGCGGTGCGGTCCGTTCCGGGCCGTCTCCCCTCTTGCTCCTCCCCTTTCTTCTGTCCCTCCGGTTACTTTAGCGTCTCCCCTCCGCAGTCCTTGGCTAAATCTTCGTGCTCGGTCAAGGCTGATAATTGGAAGCGGCTGGGGTGAAAAGGCGAGGGTTCTGGAGTCCGTTTGCATGACTTTCAGATTGCAGTGGCAACCCTTGAGCTATTTACTGAACCTTATTCTTTTTTCTTTTTTTTTTGTCTGTGAAAAGTTAATAAGAACATCTATCTCCTTACCCTGACGCTGCCTGGCAGATTTAATGCTGAAGCAAATGAGCTTTAAATTAAACTTGCCCAGAACGCTGAGATTTGTAGTCTTCTAGGTGGGGATTTGCAACCAGGAAGATTTTCTCATGCCGGAAAAGATCTCTTAATTTTGTTATTTTTCTCGTTTCTCAATAAGCATTCATCATCGTGCTTAATTTTGTGTTTATAATTTTATATTTTTTTCTAAGAAGGCCCTGTAAAAGTTTCAATCCCTACAAAACCTGGATCCACACCTTCCTACCTCTGGAATTGTTTTGATAATTAGGTAAAATAATACATGGGAAACTATTAATACAGAGGATGGGACCCAATAAATGTTCAATAAATGTTAGCTGTAATTAAAGACCAATAAAATAGCCCTCATAGCAAGAGGAGTAAACCACAAAGAGACAGGTACATTATACAGTACAGTCCACACCACTGAAAACTGGAAAATAAATTGAAATGGAAGATTTTGACACACCACTTTTGGCTTATGGAAGATTCACAGTACAAGGAAAAAAATAAAATAAAATAAAATAAAAAGGCAGATCGGAATGTGACAAGGCTGACTTTAGTAGAGGACATCTAGTCTTTTATATTGTGTTCCATGTCAAGAAATTTTTGGTCTCCAAAAAATGCAATTTGCAAATACCTAGCTACAGTATATGAAATTTGAAAATATCAAAAAAGTTAATAATAAAATCTAATCTCTTGGTACTAAAAATAAGTTACATAATAACGTAGATGCTATCATTATAAATTATTTAATAGGGAGAATGGAAGACAAAACTGCATCAAAATTTAGCACTGCCTTATCATTACAGTTATATTGATTCCAGTATGAGAATTTTAGTGCCAGTGATTATTAACTGTGTGGTCTTGGGTAAGTTTTCTAACTTTTCTGAGTTTCAGTTTTCTCATGTGTAAAATGGTAATGAGAATAATACCTGTCTTAGGCGGGGCATGGTGACACATGCCTGTAATCCCGTGTAAAATGGTAATGATGATACCTGTCTTGGGCCGGGCATGGTGACACATGCCTGTAATCCCCGCTACTCTAGAGGCTGAGGGAAGAGAATTGAACGTTCCAGTTCCCTGGACAACTTACCAAGTGAGACCCTGTGTCAAAAAAATAAATAAATAAATAAAAAGAGCAGTGGATGTAGCATTGTGGTAGAGCACTTGACTAGTATGCACAGGGCCCTGGGTTTAATGCTCAGTACTGGCAAACAAAGTATCTAGAACTGGTGAAACAAACCAACATCTACCTCATAGGCTTGAAGTGAGGATTACACTAAGACATATAAAGCACTTAGCTTAGTACCTGCTACCCAGCAGTCGCTCTGTGAAAAGCTGTTATGGGATGTGGCTGATGTTCTTGTAGGAAATGCAGTCTTCCTGCCTCCCCAGTACAGGAAATGGAATGCATGGCCTTCTTACCGAGCTACATTCCCAATCAGCCTTCCCCTCACTTTGTTTTCTGAAACATGGTCTTGCTATGTATTCCAGGTTGCTCTTGAACTCACTGTGTAGCCCCAGGCTGGCCTCCAGTTTGTGATTATCTTCCTGTTTCAAACTCCAGTGCTGGGATTATAGATGTGCACCACCATGCCGGTATGGAAATTTAATATCTTTAAATGCTTGTATCATTTAGTAATAGTATAAAAGCAAGCATCCAACTAAGAAAAGCAAAAGAAAGAAATTTTTAAATTTAAAAGTTTACAAAAAGGGACAAGTGACAGATATACATATAGTACATCTGTTATATGTAGCTGTGCTTTATACATGAGTTTTTTTGTACCTCAAGAAAAAATTTTCACCCATTTAGGGGCAGTTGCTCCCGTGGAGAATGCCTGGTATTGGGATATAGGGTATAATTAGAACTTCAAATTGGTGAAAACTTATTTCTTTTCCATATTTATCTCAGATCATCTGTCTTAGTCCATCCATATTGCTATAACGAAATACCTTAAACTTGGTTATTTATTTATTTTTTGTCTTTTTTGAGACAGGGTCAAGCTATGTAGTTCAGGCTGACCTTGAATTCACTTTGTAGCCTATGCTGGCCTCCAACTCACAGTGATACTCTTGCCTCAGCCTCCGAGTGCTGGGATTACAGGCATGCACAGCCATGCCCAGCCTTTAAACTGGGAAATTTATAAACAACAGAAATTTATGTTTACACCTTTGGAAGCTGACAAGATCAAAGTGCCAACTGATTTGGTGTCTGGCAAGAGTTTGTTCTTTGTTTCAAAGATGGCACCTTCTTGCTGTCCTCACATAACAAAAAGGGGCGCTGCCTTCCTTAAGCTTCTTTTATAAGGGCACTAATATCGCTGATGAGGGTTCCATCCTAATGGCCTAATGAACTCCTTAAAGCCCCACCTCATAATATTGTCACGGTGGGTATTAGATTTCAACATGTGAATTTTGTTTTTTTTTTTAATTTTAAAGAATAAAAGAAGGATAACATAATAATAGGGGGGACTTAGCAAATTACAGACAAAATGGTAGGAAATTATCA